ACGGTCAAGACAGCGTTGCTAATCGTGAATCAGTGTGCCATCGAATTCCTTAATTACCTCACTTACCCCTAATTTCCTAGGACCCGTATTCCTAATTAGATGGAAAAGGTTACGACTATTACAAATAGCCGCAGCTTTCTCCATCTCTTTACACTTATCTACCGACCACTTCTCGCGGTCATTCCTCAGACTCCTGATGAGCTGGCGTTTAAGGGATTTGCGCGCTGTGTCGTATGTGGCATCCGGAGGAGGGGTTCTGCGAGCGTCCAGCAGGGCAACCGAGGNTCCATCGTTTGTGTTTTGAGCTTGAGGCAGGGTCTGACGTTGTTTTTATCAATATCTGAATAGCTTTCTTAATTTGCTTCCAGTGTTCATTGAGTCCTTCGGCTGATGGTTGAACTGACAGGCGGTCGGAGAACTCTGCTTCGAAGGCCGATTTCCATGAATCGCTGACACTGTATTGCGGGTATCCGTTGTCGGTGGCTTTCTTGCGGCGACCACTGGTGCACGTAGTAAACCTCCATAGATCGCGCTGGTTGGTGAATATTACCAAATAGGTTTCTACGGCGCACGATGTTGACCGAGGAAGGTAGTGGATGAAAAAATCGCAGGTGGTCGAACTAGGACCCGGCATGAGGGAATGAAAACCCTAACCAGGAAACTCGGTAATATAGGTAGCATGGGCTCTCTGGATGGAGACCCCAGGATCAACGTAACCGGTGGTAAGATACTGTGTCGCAAACAGTGGTGATCGTGCATCGCATTATCCCTGCAGCCTTAACCTATATGAATTCTCTATGACTATGCTCTCGACATATCTATCCTCTTGCTCTTATATTCAAATGGGTAGCTTAAAGACTGCAGCCCAAGCCATTAGTGCCTTCGTCAATCATAGATGACCACAATCGTTTTCTTTCCGGCCATTAGATACCTCCCCTCCCACAAGGTTCTTCTAAATACTAATGGATGGTAAGATCAGTGCACTCGACCATGCAGCGTTTAGTTACCAGATACAAACAATATTTTGGTAAATCAATAACACCAATACGGAGGTTACTAAGAGGGCAGATGACTTCACTTGTCTCATCGAAGTGCGCCGATGTACATTGAGTTCTCTTCATCAACACGAATGAAGATGACTTGCGACAGCTACATAACATAACGTAATGTATAAGCCGAAGAACCCATCACACATTTTCGCACAGCGCTATGAGTCAGGCTGAATTCCATAGTCACGAGGACTTACTGTGAACTCGTTAAGCCAGTCACTTACAGCCAGAAATAGGCGAAAGTTGATTGTTTCACCTGCAGAGATAATCGCGCGACCAATGGCGGCAGCGCAATGACGATAATCACGAGCATTACCACGGTTTGAGCATCGTACGCACGACTGAACTTGAAAGGCTGCGATCCATTCTACTTTACAGTTAAGACCTAGAGTTTGCGAGCAGAAGATATTCATCAACCAGAGGCTTTTAACAATCAATGCTTACACAGTTAGTCGCAGGTGCGATAGATCGAGCGAGTTGGTAACCGTTAAGTTAGAGAATGTATCGTTGAAAAAGCCAATACGACATAGAATTAAGGGGGATAACCTTGGGGTCCCCACCCGAAGCCTTTGGCTAGAAAGCCAGACCTGCAAGACAACAGTCCGTAGTCTATTGGGGGCCGGTATCTGGTTCATTGGATCATACGCCCTTTGGACGCGGTCAAATGTCCAAGGTGACCATCGCCGCAACCGGGAAAGTTTGTGTGTGATTCGTACGCCTCTTCTTCGTTCGTTTGGAATCAGGGTTTTTAGCCAGCTCCCTTGGGTGAACTGCCAATGGTTCACGAACCCGTTTGTAACTCCGGATGTCGGCTTTTCGTCCTCTCACTTTGGTGAGAAAACTACTCCGCCACGGGAAGGCAGTAAGTAGGGCTTCCTCAGCAGAGGCTATCGGAGACGCTTAGTCTTATGGGAACATTTCGTGAGGTGCAAGGGAAGGGTGACCAACCGCAAACCTAGACACCCACCACCGACCATACTGAGGCTTTCGGTAATTTATGCTTCACTATGCATGGTGCGGTCCAACAGACTCCGTAACTAGCTGGTTGTAAATACTGAAGGACGTGGTCGCTTATTTCATGATTGGCAGAGATCGGTGAATTTCACTACAGGACCAAGACGTGTTCTTACTGTCCGCTTATGAGGGTCAGTAATATAAGCCCGTGGGGTTGAAGTGGCAAGCTAAACACGCAGCATTGCACGAATCTGGTGGGGCAGCCGGACAAGCAGTGTTAAGGTTAGGCGCAGACTCTTGGGCAACGGTGGCCGCCCACTGGAGCAAGCGGTCGACCTCCATAGGTTACGTTGGTTGAGGCATGTGTTACGCATGTCACCAGATAGGTTGCCACGACGAGCGATGTTCGAACTTCTCTGATCGCTGCCAAGCTTACAATGTACACAAATCAAATGACAAAGCACAAAATGGAAAGGGACTGGTTCTTGTTGGAAGTAGGCAAAGAAAGTGAACCTCTATGGTCAACAAACAGAGTGCATACCTTTTCAAGCATTCGGACCTGATAAGAAATGACAAGAACGCCACTGCCGTCGGTCAGTCGCCATATCCTTCAGTGTCTCCAACCGGTCAGTTGCAGTCTCTCGGACCCGAACCTGGAATACGGGAGACACTGATTCTACCTAGTCTCTACGTGCATTTCTTCATGCCTCGTTCTTATGTCATGCCATTTTGACCTTCAAACGGTTTCTTCCAACCTGGAGCCTCAACGGCGGTAGACGATGACCGGGCATGCGCAATACGTGTCCTAACCAGAGAAACCGACAAATCTCAATTCGATGAGACAACGAATTGTCCATCGAATCATTATCATATACGCGACGACTTATCTCAGTTGTTTACACACTCGCTCTTTCAACCCGCGCCAAACTGCGTAAACATCGGTCGAACACTTCTTGACGAGCAAATTTAGGGTCTCGCAACCATAGAGCAGAACTAACCGTACACTGGCGCAGTATACACGACCTTTCAGTTTCATCGAAGCATCGCATCTGCACCACAGGTTTCATTCTTGTGTAAGCTGCTCATGCCTAGGAAATGCAGGCGGTTACTTCATTGACTCTGCTACCGTCATTTGAAACGCAGCTACTTAAGTAGGTGAAACACTTCGCGACCGCAAATTTTTGACCATCAAGCATCAGCGCTGGGGTAGACTTGTAGCATCACTGCACTGTGAAGGTGCCCCTTCCCTCTGTTTCTAGAAAAATGCCTCTGTACGACCAAACGTCCCGAGTCGCCTCTGCCGAGGATGTCTTCCCGTCAAAGGATTTTCCCTACCCAAGTGAAAGTGCGAAAAGCCAGCAAACGGGACTATAACCGCTTTGGTGAACCACTTGCAGTTCACCTAGGAGTTGGCCAAAAGCCCTGATACTAAACAAATCAAGAAAAGACATACAAGCGACACTCTCCCGGTTATGACAGTGGCCACCAGCTCCATTGGGCACCTTGAATGTTTCAGCCCGTCCAAAGGGCGTAACGACAGATGAACTGAACGCCGGTCTCCAGTGGATTGCAGTTTACACACCGCCCCACTGCCTTGCAAACCAGAAGTGAGTTGATCATCATTACTTCGAAGTTGCCATTAGCAGCAGTCACCGCCACCCAACTTTGGTGGTAGACAGCTTTGCTGTCGTCCGGTTCAATTCACGTCTGACCGTTTGGGACCTTATGTGGTTCACCACCCCGAGTACTGGGGCTTAGGTTACCGGTTTCCATCACTGAACCGCAGGTCTTCGTGACTATGGGGTTCATCCTGTCTGCTGTTCCTCATACAAGTGTAATAAAAAATAAAATGAAAGAACTCATCTAGTTATGACACACGATGATTCAGACAGCTCGGGTGCATAAGTGCTAAATCAGCCGGCAGCGATTAGCTACTGGACCCTATAGTGGTTATGAAAAGGAATAAGATTCCAGTGGTTCTGAAGGTTAAACTTAAGGTTCGGTTGAATGTAAGAACTAACGTATACTTCCTTATTTCTTACAACTTACTCCGGTATGCTTCCTTTTTCGAGGATGCCATCATGGTATAAAGACGAATTCAGAACTAATGATGGTTGTCGCAATTGGCAGAATTCAAATATTTTGTCCAGTGAGGGAAAACAGCGGTACACAGATGCATGGTTGCAAAAACCGAAACCGAGCGAAGCAGTGACGACCTGGTTTCGCAGCGCTTCACAGGTTATCATGTTGAAAGGGATGAAGTAGATTTCGCAGTTTCTTTCAAAAACAGTTATATTAAAGTAATGAATACACAGACCAGCAAACACCCCATATCAACAAATAAACAGTGATTACGTTTGGATATTACAGGACTGATATCTACAAGTCTTCTTTCTTCGGCGCACCTTCTCTGTTATATCCACGCAATTCTTGCGTACTTTCCTTGGCCACGAACTTGATGAGGTCATCAACTTCTCGCGGGCCCTGGGGTAGATTGGTTATATGCAAATTTATAACTTACTTCATATCGCTTTGGTGTATCTTTGGAATTCTTCGGAGCGAAGTAGAGTGTAGGGTAACCACGGACAGAGTATGGTTCCGGTATGTCATTCGCCGTAGCGTCATACAAAACGAATTTTACCGACGGTTCGGAACGCAGCTTTTCGGCCGCCTCTTTGAATTTGGGCATCAAATTCTTACAGTGACCACACCAAGGAGCATGGAACATTATGAATACATCTTTGCTCCCATCATTGACTATTTCTTCAAACGTGGTGCCCACGGCAGTTACGGTTGCTTCATCACTCGGTTCCGGAACAGGCTCAGATTTGATGTGAGGGGTCAGTTTGCCATCACGAAACTTTTCAATAAACTCCACGAGTTTCTCAGGACTTCAAACAGAATTAGTGTTGTAATTCAAGCTCACCTGTAGTCTGGCAGTTTGTACTTTTTTCCAGAAGAATATATCGCAACCACTGGGAATGGACCGTCAGCCTCACCCAGATCAGAAAGCTCATGATAGTAATCGCCACTAAAACTATAGGCGAATTTCAGATCCGACGTCGACTTCAAACTCTTCAGCAACTTCATTAGCCGATTTCGATGGTAATTGACACCCTTCGGATAGCCATCCAGAGATGCATTGAAGTAAAATACAAGAAGTTTGTTTTTAGAGAAGTGTTTGTCATTCTGAGGTGATCGATAGCCAACAAGACCGAACCTAATAACTTATTTTAATAAAACATGAAGCATACTGAGTTTTTCGTATCCAATCACCCAATGCTTTGGCAGTCATTTCTCCAGAATATTCGATGGTGTCCTCTTCAAGTTTAGTTGTCAACAAACGCGGGCGCTGAAGGCGAACATGACTAAAAGCATGAACAAAATTATAACCCAAGATACCTGTCGCCCTTGCTTCCGAGGATGGTCGGGTCATGAGTATGTGCGAATAACACATCGGAAATAAAATCCGATGCAACATCTTGGAACGACTTCAATGAATCGCCTTCTTCTTTGAAATAAGCAACAACGGTAGGCAAACGATCGCTATCACCACGCGACGTGAAGGAAGTGTAGTCTTCCATTGTCAATAATTTTTTGGATGGTGGCTGTGAATGTTTCATCATAAATGCGCGTATCCCGTCTAACAGCTATCAATATGTAAAAAAGCGCTTACCAGTATCGCGAGGACCATCGTATTCTTTATGAAATACGCCATTTTTGAATAACTTCACGGTGGGGTACCCCGTTACCCCAAATTCACTACATTTTTCACCATGCTCAGTACAATCCAGTCTTGCTAAGCGGACATTACTAGCTGCATTTGCTAACAGCTTGGAGGCTTCTTCAAAATGAGGCTTCAAGTGTTTGCAGTGTCCACACCTGACGGTAAATTACGACTTTCATTTTAGTCAACATACCAGGGCGCATAGAACATGACGAGGGTGTATTCCACCTCAGAAACTTTGCTGTCGAAACCATCTTTAGTCAACTCCGTAACGTCAGCAAGCACCAGCGGTAGTAAAACAATCAGCGACAGCGCAATCATCACGACGAGCGACGCGCCACTGGGAGGTGGGTTAATGTGATTGGATTAAGCCACAGCAAGTGATTCAGTTAAACAACATTCAGGTCAGGACTACTCAGGTTGCATAGAACCGAATATAACTTCAAATGTTCGCCAGTATTG